GCGCTGCTCGCTTACGCCAGGGACAGTAACCCCACAGCCTGACAACCCCTCACTGGAGACTATTCCGTCTTACCCCTTCCTCAAGCGGGCGCTCACTGGAGGAGGTTGCAGCCTTACAGTAGCCACAGGCAGCGAACAGGGCTCGTGGTGAGGAGTTAAGATTGCAGAGCTGCATAATCCTATTGGAGAGCCTGCAAAGGATGGGGGCACTTAACACAACTGAGGCAGGCAGCTGTTTCACTTCGCATTGTCTCTGAAAAATACTCAGTATTCAAACCAACTCAGCTCTCTGGGGCACTGACTTTCAAGAAAAAAAGTAACATAGTAACACGTGCTTGTTGGGACACTCCTAGTTCTGGGGCTACCCCACCACGCTCCTTAGGGCTGGCCAGGATTATTTAGATAAGCGGACAGACCCTGCTGCCAGAACTGCAGCGTCAGGCCCAGCCCCTAGCCCAGCGTAGGGGAGAGATTTGGTTTCGGAGCAATTGTGTTCAGACTGATACTGATGGGCAGTAGGATGCTGTGGTGACTGTTCTGGGAAGTAGCCCCTAGGAAGCTTAAGGCTGTTTGATCACTACAGTTTTCTTTCAGCAATTCCCCATGTCCCCAAACCATGCTAGCTGCATGTAGCACTCAGATTGCCATCACTGAATTCAGGAAAAAGTGAACTGTTCTTCAGCCACAGAATTCTACTTGGTTTTTTGTTGCAGGGTGGTAACTAGAAATATGCTCTTTGGGTTTGTGTAGCCAGTTGTGGGTTGTGCCTATGAAAGCTGCTGCTGATAGACTCTTACAACACATAGATGGTAAGTGCTCCTAGTCTAATTACATTTGATAGTTTCTTGGCTATTTCCAGCTAAGGCTGCAGAATACATACAGCCACAAGCTGGTTGCTGTCAATTTAGGATTTTCTTGTTTGGATGGTATTTAGCCTACATATTTAAGGAGCTCTGTATGGTGCTATCGATCCATTTAGTGGACTTGATGTCCTGATTGACATAGCAAAAGTGGCTTACAGAAGTGACACCAAGACAGTCGTTGCAGCTGCTCTAAGCAATCAGGTATAAAAGAAACCTCTTGTGTAAAGTGACATTCCAGCAACAGCAAACTACCTACTGTAAGAGGAGCAGAAGTGGGGATTCTTGCCTGATTTGCAAGTCTTTGCAGTAAGGACGACAGTGGTAGTTCCCCTATTCCAATGCATGGCCCAGTCACACTTGCCACAGCAGTAATACTAAAGCACAAAGCAGTAAACAAACAGGCAAGTTAGCATCTGTTCCATTAGAAACACAAGGCAAGGTTTAATGGTTGTCAAACAGACTACAAAGGCTGCAGGAAAAGACATTTCATTTCCAAGGGGGTTACAGAGATCAGAGACTGTAAGAGTAAAGTTAAATTGAAAAAAAAGTGACTTCACTTGCAGTGAGTAACTCACAGGGCCAAAGCTACTGGAGAGTTTGGAAGGTCACTTTGCGGGATGCCAATGCCATATGCTGTTCAAACTAGGATTCAGCGTGGGTGGCGGGACAAGACATTTCTGGCATGTGGGTGGCCCATAATGGCAAGGGAGGGTCTGGGCACAACTCAGACCAGCCTGACAGACGGCCCCCATCTCCTCTTTTGGCCAAGCCCCAGTTTACCACCACCCCAACCCTCCTGATTAACTCAGTAGCAAGCAGAGATGGAAGCAGGCATAGGGCAGGCAGAGTGCCACGTTTCTCTTGGCAGCTTAACCCCTCCCCCAGGAGGTTCATTCCTTCCTGGAAGAGGGTCTGAAATGTTGCTCACAGGAGGAAGGGGCCCAGCTGTATGTTGCCAGCAGCAGCTTGGGTGCCAATCAAACAGGGCAGGCTGAAGTGACAAGGCAAGGTGCACTCCTTAAAATAGCCGGGGGAGGAAACAAGCCAGCTCACCAGGCTGCTGTTGGAGCCCGGCCCTTGGGGTGCGTGGCTGGGAGACGCCCCAGCTCAGAGGCTGTAGCAGTGTCAGGGTGGAACATCAGAACGTTAAGACGAACCATTTCATTAGGAGATGGATGCAAGTTCAGTTACACCTAGCGTGCAGATCAGGCAATCCCCCAGACAGGGCAGCTAGAAGGTTGGCAGGCAATCTCTCCATCCCCTACCCGCAGCAAGGGCTCCGTCACCTCTCGTGCAGCCACAGGGAAGAGTTGGAATGATGGATGCAGCTTTTGTTCCCTTCCAAGTTGAGCAGGGCAGACGGACTCGTTCTCTCCTAGATCAGAGCCATCGGGGGGAGGGGAAGGGGAAGGACGCTGCCGTTTCAGGTTCTGGATCCTAAGATGGGTGTTAAGCATACACAATGAATCAAGCCAAGGCAACGTGCGCTGGGAATCGCTGCAGGCAGACAGAAGACTGCCTCCTCCTGGAGACAGGAGAGTCTAGGAATCCAATGTTCTAAAATGAACTATTAAGACACTTCAATTCTCCTCTGCCCTCCCGCTGCAGTGAGGCCGGGGGAAGGTTTGCCACAGGTGGTCCTCCACTACTTTGGTCACTCCAAACAAAACTGGAAAGGACGTAATGCACAGCGCACAGTCTGGGTAACAGACCGGTCCCTGTAGGAGAGCAGGGCTAGTAGTTCCATGAGACTTAGGACAATACAGGAGGTCAGAAGTCAGAACACAAGAAGCTTCACAAAACCATGTTCAATCATGCTACACCTTCTATGGAGACAAGATGGACACAGAACAATTAAAACCAATTAAATAACCCAGCAGAGGCCAGACAAGGCTAACCATGTGCCAGTGGCGCGCACACAGCAAAGGGAGGAAGTGAATCCCTGACTGGATGTACAGCAAGGTGCTTGGTGGTAGGTGGAATGTCCAACCACCAAAGCTCAGGCCAGGAGTGGAAAACAGGACCCAGAAGGCCATGCTGAGCGCCTGTGTCTAATTTAGCCAGGAGCAGATTTGCCAATGCTGGGTAAGACCCTAAGGGCAAGAGTTGTTCAGGCCTCCTGGAAAGAACTTGACAGATTGAGCAACAAGGCCTTGGGGTGACCTTTCTAGAAAGAAAGCGATCACTTCGTTCTCAGCGGGTTCGGGTTCACCCCAGAAACGTTGCAGACGTTCTACACTGGTTTCAGAGAGCTATGCAGACCAGAAATAAATTGTGACATCTGTAAACCACAATATGCAGAATACTCCCCTCAATAAGAAATGAAACTGGTATCAGACGTTTTGATACCCAAGTACTGAAGTACTTGTACATCTTCAGCTTCCATAAATAGGAGAAGTCACAAATGCTAGGACAGGGATGAAAAATCCTCAGTCTGTTAGGGCAAACCCAGTAGATTCAGAGGTTTAATGTTGCCTCCTGCGCCTGCTCCATGCTGAGTGGAGAGCCCGAAGAATTACTTGACTGTTCCATTTTGATTCGTTTGCTCTTTCCAGTAGGACGTGAACAGCAATGAATACATTACTCAACTCTAACACGCCTGGCACTGCCGTGTGCCTCCGCTCCACCCTATCCTGCCAGCCCCTCCTAGCCCACAACTGGGCTCATCTGTCTGCCACGATTGCTTCCAGCCCTGGCCAGTTCATACTCCACAAGAAACAGGCTGACACGCTGTCGAGCTGTTCCGCCCACTCGGCGAAGGAAAGAGCGCCCGATCAGCCTCCGGGTCCAGAGCACGCTCAGGTTTCGTTAAGAGTCAAGGGGCGCTCTCCGACCTCTGGGCAGGCTGGGTTGAGTGTCATGGGGCATTCTAGGACACAATGACTGGAGGAGTGTTCGGCCTGCACGTTTATTTCTCAGGGTTACTTGTGTTCTGTGCAGAAGACAGAATGCCCCCTCAAACCCAGCTGCTTACCCCACACCATCTAGAGTCGCTCCATGTGAGCCACTGCCACCGAGCCCATGCGCACATCCCTGACACTCAGCACTGCAACACAGCAAAGGGGTTCTAGCGCCTGCCAGCAGCCCCCCACGTGCTGCCGAGACTCCCAATCGCTGCACTTCAGGGGAGAGGGCAGCTTTGTACTCCCCCGCCCCCTTTTCTTTTCCTGCCCTACTCAGACTAGAGCATCAGCCAGACACTGCCACCCCGTGGGAGCTAAGCTAACACCGCCACTGTGCAGGCTGATGTCGGTAAGGAACAGAGGGAGCATGGAAACCCCTGCGCAGCAGGTGCACGACTTCCTGCAGCAGCTACCCAGCCATTTCTTACCAAGTCCTGCCTTCCCCTGGAGCAACTCCCTCACTCTCAGGCACAGCTGCATGTGTCGGATGGAAGGAGCCTCCACCAAGCTCCAGTATGGCATGCTAGGTCCGAGTCCTCCCCAGACACCTGCACAGGCCGATAGCGTCAGGGCCAGTCCTGATCGAGGGGCAGTCTGTGCTTGGACCCCACTTGCTAGCACCAACTGGGAGGTGGCAAATGGAATCCAAGACTCAGGTGCTGAGGAGGGGAAGGCAGATCCAAGAAGTATCACCTCACATCCAAGAAGCTGGGAGCTCAGCCTCAAGCCTGGCTCGAGTGAGCATCAACTGCAAGCCCAGCAGATCTGCTCTCAGCCACCAGAAACATCGTGCTGCCCACACCCAGCAGCGAGGCAACAGCTGCAGCTGATTTAAAAAAAAAAAACAAAAAAACACAGGATGCCTGGCAACTCCTGAAGCTATGTAACTTCTCCATCTGCAATCCAGCCAGCTGCCCAGCCAGACCCTCGGGCTACTTGGCAGCTTCCCAAAGCCCCTTGGTTTGGACACTGGTCTGCATGGACCAATAATCTGATCTGGCGCAATGGCAAATCCATCTCTCTGGCTGGGCTGGAGGTTCTACCGGCACACGGCTTTCGTCTCCATGGGCAGATATTACACAGAAGGGAAGAGCCAACCCACCATGGAACATCAAGGAGGACCTGGACATGCTCCCAGGAGTGAATTCCTTCAGACCTGCAGAGCTTGGAAAGACAAAGGGTCCAGGGAAACGTGACCTGAAAGCGTGTGACTGTGCAGGGGGGTGAGAATCACCCCAGGACACGCCTCTTTTGAATGCCCCCTCTTGCACTCGCCCCCAAATAAAGACACCGTTCAATGGCATGTTGAAAAGACGTGCTCGTCATTCTTAATAAACGACTAGAGTAAGAATACATAAGAGAAACAGGGTGGTATCTTTATATGATACACAAGTGTATGGTACAAGAACTCCATCAGGCACAGGCGCCCCAAGGGTTAAGGCCTCAGTGTCAGGCCAAAAAAAGAAGAGTGGTAAAGTTGGGTTTTTGTTGCTTTTTTGTTGTTTTTTTTTTTTACTTTTAACATCTAAAAATGTCACTTAAAGGTCTGAATAGAAATCGGTTGGTTTTTAAGAAATCATAATTGCAGTTCACTCTCCTCCTCCTTCCAGGACAATAGCAAATTCATGTCTGAGCACGGAGGGGGGACCCCTGCCCCCTCGGCTGGCTGAGCAGGTCCATCCATCCTTCTGCGCTCTCCAGGCTGCACGTGGGCTGAGGCGGCGTCAGACACAAGCCGTCCAGGCCAATCCCGTAGCTCGCTCTGTTCTCTACAGCGTCAAAAACCAAAGTCAACCAGCAGGTTCAGCATCTCTGAGCTGGCGGAGAAACACAGCCCCAGGTGGTTCTAACAGCTCAGTGGGTTTGGGAGGATACACAATGGGGAGGTTTCCTTTTAGATTCTTTTAAAGAGAGGAAGCCTAAAAGGGCTTCCTAACTACACCAATAAAAAACAAAACGTAGGCATCTCCTTTAGTGTAAAAGTCTGTACAATTTAGGCTTGCTTGTCATCCCGCCACCCCATCCCACCCCCTTCTGAGCTGGGAAGGGTGCCTTAGTGCATGGTGCTGGCATTAGCCACAGCAATAGCTTCCTGAATCTCTCGTATGACCAGGATCCGAGTGAGCATCTGCTCCATCTGCTCTCTGCTGATTGGCTGGATGGAATACCAGATTGGGCTGTTCGGGGCTACCACCGGCTCCGGAGTTAAGTAAAATGTGTCATTCCGGCCTTTCACGCTCTGGGGGCTGCAAGGGGGGAAGAAAATCAGAGACAGGCAGGCTAGTTACATGTCCTGAACAGGCAGCCTCATCCTAGTCACCCGGGCGCTAAGAACCCTCCGTGAAAGCTGCCCGGTTCGGAGACCCATGGGTGTTTACTTGCAGGGCAGGTACCTTTATGGGCAGTGGTCTCACACAGCTTCTACCACCAGAGTGTCCCGTTCAGCCCTCCTCCAGGGGAGAGCGGGGAGCTGCCACCACACTCAGCGAGGCTAGTGGGGTGAAGGGCCCCTTGGCTATCACGTGGGCCTAGATTCGTTAGGAACGATTACGTGTCACTCAGTCCCAAGGTTACCAATGGGCCTTTGAAGAGGGTTTTCTTCTCCGACACCATTGGCACTGCAGTTGAGCTAGTAGTGGGGCCCTTCCTGAAGGAGGGATGTGTACAGAGACCTCTCACGGTCACAGCAAGCCTCCATTTTCAGAGCTGCCGCCACCTCGCTTCTCCAGTGTCGCATACAACGCGGAGGGCCCTTCATCAGGGCACCTGCAGGCCAAGGGGCCACCGCACAAGCGTCACTGCTGGGACGTCTACAACAGCCCCGGGACTAACACCGGCAAATTCACACTTCAAGACTCAGCCCCTTCACATTCTTTGTGCCGCTCTGCACCGAGTCTTGCCCTCTACTCTGCAGGACAAGTCCCCCCCATAGTTACAAACTGTACCGGGGAAGGAGACAGAGCTCTTTCTGGAGCTACAGAGTGCCGCCTGGGTGCATATTTACAAGAGACCTGCAACCCCTCGCGGCAGGAGCGCTCACCATTTGAAGAGGTAGAAGTCATAGAGCTTTATGGGGCAGCGCAGGGGGTTCTCTGGATTCTCAGTCTGCTCTGCATACATGTCATCTGTAACTGCAAACCGCCCCCCGAAAACCAGCGTCAGACTCCGTACACGAAAGCGCTTGTAGAACAGTAGAGAATAAAAGCAGCAAGCATCCAGCAGCCTCAATGTTGCAAATCCCACCTCATAAGGCGTTAGGAGTTCCCAGCTGCAGGAGCCATAACACGGCCCCAGGCAGCACCTTCAGCTCTGGGCTTTAGCAACATCCCACTCATCAACCCCCCAGCTAGCCGACCCCTGAAAGGCAGAGAGTCTGGCTACAGGAAGAGGCCCGTGAGCAGAGCGCTTCCACTGAAAGGAGAGAACAAGGCTCCTCTGAAACGCCTCTCTGCTCAGAGGCCCGTGTGTCACAGTGCCTCTGCCTGGACAGAGGACTGGAAAAGAGGGCAGGGCCGTGTGCCTCAGCAAACCCAGCCACAGAACACCTGCTGTCTCGGATCATGGAGCTCCTGGGGGAGATTCACACTGTCTACCACACTGGAGCTCTTTGTAAGACTCTAGCAAACAGACCCGGCCAGTCAATCCCAGAGCATTCCACAAAAGGCTTGTTTCTCCTCTCCTCGGGGAACTACCTTTCTGGCCTGTCTGGTGTATGCCAAGTGCCTTCAGATACCGGATACTCGTGCTCTTATCCTTGGGATTGGAAGGGTTCTTCTTGGTCTGCCTCAAGACCTTGGAGAAAGCCAACTTCATATGCTGGTCTACTGTTTTCAACAGGAAGTACCTGAGCAGTGGGAAGAGGACAGAAGTGTGGGGGGCAAAAAAGCCTCTCTTCACCGCTCAGGGAGAGGAAACACTTTTGTGGGTATGAGCCAGCCAGGGTTCAAACCAGGCTGGGAGAGGCAGCTCTCTCCTCCTTGGGTTCCTGCATGGGATTCCTTGGATAAAAGGATCCCTCTGGGCTTTGCCCATTCAAAAGCGGGGGCCTGCTCTGAATCGGGGACCGGAACGGACACATACTTACTTGGTGTTAAAAAACATCAGTGTGGTGAGCAAGGTGGAAGGGGAGTGGGCGCCCAGCTGCTTGCACTCCCACAGCATCTCTTCTGTGACGTGGCTGGGGAGAACGTAACCTGTAACACGAGAAGCGGGCATCGCTGACAGGTGCTACGCCACAGGCCAGCAGCGCGCGGGTACACATGCGACAAGCTCCCTCGGAGGGGAGCCAGATGGATGCTCGTTTCAGTGGCTCACTTTGATCTCGACCACAAGGGAAGGATGAGCAAGCTGAGCTCTCAGCCCCATGCACAGGGTCATACACTCTAGACTTGCTCCTGTGCACAAGGGAAAGCCCAGACTCCCAACACCTAGACAACCCCACAGGCTGCACAATGGCAGAGAACAAAGCATCAATCCAACAGGCAGAGGAAAAACAAAAGGAAGCAAAAATATCTGAACCCAAATGTAGAATTGATAGGTGGCCAGAGCAAACCCAGAGCAGGGGGTATAAAAATCTGGTGAAGTAACAGATTCCTGTTCCCTGAAAATACCATCCTTTCGCTCTCATCTTCGGAGCAGGGTGTAACCTTCCCTACTGCAGCAAGAGCACATTTTGTTTGCGCAAGTTCTGTTTTATCAGACACCTGTACATAGTGAAGGACACCTCCCCTCCCCCCCGCCCCCCCCCAAAAAGGGCTGAATTTTTGCATGTTTTTGGCTACAATATTTTTAAGGCTTTGCTTAAAAAGTACCCACAAATGGATTCCAAAATGAGCATCATAACAAGCCATGCCTTAGGGCAAATCTCTATTTATCACTGGATGCTGACCTAATTCCTCATCACTGGCGCAGAATAAAGCAAATGCATTGCCAATGCAAGTCACATCGCTGGACGCCAAGGGTAAGTCACTGGGAAGCGCCAGACTGGGTCCAGCTAGCCCAGTGTCCGGTCTTCCAACAGTGGCCTGGGCCAGGTGCCCCAGGCCAGGTGCCCCAGAGGGAGCAAATAGAACAGGGAACCATCAAGCGATCCCTCTCCTGGCACCCATTCCCAGCCCGACACACCGAGGCTGCGACGCCCTCCCCAGCCTGGTTAACAGCTATTACAGACCTGGCCTCTGAACGCAACTAGGTTTTGAACCCTATTAGAGTCTTCGCCTTCCTGACACCCTCTGGCAGAATTCCACAGGTGGGCTGTGCTGGGTGAAGAAACGCTTCTTTGGTTTTAAAACCTATTTATTTTGTATTTGGTGACCCCTAAATCTTGCATTAGGAGTAAGAGTAAACGGTCACCGTCTGTCTCCACACCAGCCAAGACCGTACAGCCCTCTAGCACAGCCTCCCTCGTCTCTTTTCCTAGCTGAGAAGTCAGCCGTCCAAATCTTGCCTCACGCGGAAGGGGTCACCTATGCCTAGTTTTCATTGCCCCTTTTCTGAATCTTTCCCAGTTCCAATATATCTTGAAGATGGGGCGACCACAGCTGCATCCAGCACCTAAGTGAGGGTGTACCATGATTTCAAGAAGCAGTAGGATTTTTCTATCTTCGCTGCTATCCCAACACTGCTAGCTTTGACTGCTGCTATGCACCGAGTGGATGTTTCCAGAGAGCTATCCACAATGACGCCAGATCTGTCTCGACACCTGGTGTCCTCACCTAAAACAGTGGAACCTCTGCAAACCAGAACACTTGTCTGGCCAGAATGTTCCTGGACCAGAGAGCCAGGCGCAACCCTACAGGGCTGTAAGCTGGTGCGCAGCAGCAGGACCGGGAGCCCAGCAGCTCTGCCTTGTGGGGCCAGAAGCCCAAACTGCTGGGAACTGGGCTGCCCAGCTTAGCAAAGGGGGCGGGGGAGGGAGAGACACAGAGACAGCAGGACTGGAAGGAGCCTCGGGAGGTCATCGAGGCCAGTCCCCTGCCCTCATGGCAGGGCAAAATACTGTCTAGACCATCCCTGATAGACATTTATCTAACCTGCTCTTAAATATCT